TTTGTAAGTAATGAACGATTGAATTTACCAGTTAAAAAATTCCACGTGACTAAATTAACCGGTTAATCAGTTAATAATAATAAAGTTAACCGGTTAACCGTTTCTAAAATTAATCGGTTAACCGGTTAACTCTTAATTTTAACGGTCAATTAACCGGTTAAAGAATTTTTGCGCGGTGCCAACCTCTAGTTTGCATTTACCATAGACAAATTTCATTAGTTAAATTGTAAGAATTGTCCTAAGAAGTTGACATAAATTGTCAAATTAACATTTTTTGAATACATGCACGTTTGGAATGTCACCAAAATCATAATTTCACAGCATTAACAAATATTAATATAATAGAATTAACTATAAAATATATTTCAAAAATTGAAACTTTGACTATTGCATACTTGTGTCAATAACAATATTAATAGCAATTTGCAACTAGCTAAGTGATAAATAAAACCTTGCAATTTTAAAACGAATTTCTTCTAAATTTTTTTGCTTTCAAATGATTTTAATTCTGTACAATTTCTATTTATTTATTATATGTGAACTAAATTCTTGAAGGATTTTTAGGTTTGTGAGGTGTAGTTGCAGTTTTATTAATCCAATCCAAATAATTTGTTCTAATTGGTGTACTATGTCCAGCTTCATCAAGATAATCTATTGCATTTTCCTATAAGTTTTACTTTACAATCAGAGCACTTTCTTTTTAAATTAAGTATCAAAATAACAATGAAAAGAAAAAAATTTACCCTGATACTCATCAAAGTCTGATGCAGTTTCATAATTGATTCTAGTTCACGAACAGAATTTGAGATTGTACAATTGGCCACTTCAACCATTAGATAAATCCCTGAATACTGAAGTTTCATTACACATACTACCATTTTATACCCGTTTATAAAAATTGCTAACTTTTTTCCAGATGATGGTTGAATATTAAATTTCTTAATATCATAATCAATAGCATCCTTAGCATGTATGGAAGCCCTGTAAATGTCCCAATTAATTTTTTTTTCTTCATCTTCACGTTTAGGGCTTGTCACTTCTAAAAAAACAGATGTACGAGTATTCTTTTGATTGTGGAGCATATAGTCTGGAATTCTACCATCAGCAGGACTTTTACGTAGTTTGGAAGCTTTAGATTCTACACTAATCCTATAAAAAACAGATAAAATGAATCAATTTCTTTGAAAATTAACTGAAAATATATAAAATCGATATATTATACCATGAATGAGTAGTAACATAATTGAAATAATGAATGGTTTTGTTAAAAATAGGTCCCAAGTAATCTACAATATAAATTGCTTCATTTAACTTTTTCATATCAATTGAGGGATTCCACAGCACATACTCTTCAAGTAATCTAAAAAAAGTTTTATTTATACATCCATTTTGATTTATTGAGCATTTCTTGATATATATTTCAAGTTCTTCAAGAGCATCCCGTCGAAATTTCTACAAAGATAGATATTTGTGAGAAAAAAAAAAAAGATCAATATATATGTATAATTTAATTTCAAACCCTTTTGTTTTCCTCCACAAACAACTTGATATCATCTGAAACTCCAATATGCTCAAAATGTGGATTGATAAGTGACTTGATTTCAGAAATTTCATAAGGTGTTAAAAAATCAATATATGCATCCTCAGCTTCTTGTTTGAAATAAAAAACTGATGAAACAGCAAGCAATTTATGAATATTTTGACTTGTTGGACAATGTGTACCAAACTCTAATTTTTTAAGCATATATTGCTGCCATTTTAGTAATTTAATTTGCAATTCGTCAGTATTGTTTTTAATTGCTTTTTGAACCTTTTCTTGTATTAATGACAGTTCAGTAATTCCAAAAAATAATTCTCCTTCTTCTTCTTCAATTAAATCAATTATATTAACGTCATCAAATTCATTTTTGTCATATGATTCTTTAACATCCAAATCTTTTTGTTCATAAACACATGCTTCATGTTTATTGTCAATAACCGATTTTGACTAAATTAAAGAAAGGAAAAAAAACAGACAATTATTAATACAAAAGAATAGTAATTAGTTGCAAATTTCTGTTGTTGTATACCTTCTTAGATGTTTCTTTAACTTCATCTTCGTGGGATCTTTTTCTATTACTTGACACTGCTTCGGATAGATCTACAATTATTTGATGTGCACCAACTTCTCTTGATTTGTCCAATACATCTATACTGGAACTTATGTAATTTCTTTGAACAGTTCTCTATATAATTAATATCAATAAAAAAAACAATTTTTTACAAACATGTCTATTTTCTCTATTAATAATATTAAGTGATTAGAGATTTACAAAGTGTACCAACCTTTTTTCGTTCCATGACAATTTCCTCAAAAAAGGATTTCATTGGTGTACGTGGACATCCCTGTAAAAAAAAAAAATAAATATTGACAAATTTCTAAAACACATATTTAACGAAAGAAAAACTTTGGTAGATCGCAATGAGGAGGCAACGAAGCATCGCCAAACCCACTAAATCGTAAAATATACGTGCGAAACGCCATATAGAACGACTCAGGAGCGCACACACTCATCACTTGGGCGACGGAGAATCATCAAACCCACTAAATCGTAAAATATACGTGCGAAACGCCATATAGAACGACTTGGTAGTGCCCTCTTATTTTTTTGTAGTGGGAAAAAAAAATCAACACTACTTGTTTGCCTGCTTTTTTAGCATGTTCAGAATATCTTCTGTACCAAGCTCCATCGATACCTGTCCAATCATCTGTATAAGGGGGAGAATCCAGGATGACGTGTTGAAATTTTTTCAAAAAATTATAATAAGTACACTGTTCATTGTCAACAATTTTGAAATAATCGCTTATTTCTAAGAAATGAACAAGCAAAAGATTAGAGCGTTATTATATATAAAAAAATTATTTTAGCCATACTTATCAAAAATTAGAAAAGAACGTATTTTGTTGTTTAATTATATATTTTTTCTATTTAACAAAATACAGTCTGTTATCTATCTTTAAATTTTTTTTTTAAGTGAGCTTACCATCATATCCTGGATATTGATTACTCATTTTTACTAAAAAGATTTTTTTTTCTAAAAAGATTTTTTTTTCTAGATTTTTATTAATATATATCAATACGGGCTTAAATATGATTGGTTGATCGACAGAAATTGAATTTTTAATTTTTCTAAATTTTAATCATCTGACTTTGAACGTTTACAGCACCATCCAATAATATGTATACCATTACAAAAGCTTGGGTTCCGTTTAATATGCTATCAAAGTAATTCAGAGAATGGAGGGGTAATTCGGAAATTAGATGAGAAGTGTATTCAAACATTCATATTTTATTATTATTTTTTATTATTATTTATTTATAGATTTTTTTTTGCTATAACACTGCAAAGCAAGAACAGTTATAACCAATAACTCAACTAATTTTTACCTTATTTACTATTAGGGGGAATAATATTGTTGTTATGTAGCAACTATTCTTTCTAATGTGTCAATATATACACATGTTCACCAATACTAATAATTAACCTGAGTTAGGTAGTAAATTATTTTTCTTCTGATTTTCTCTTCTTTCTAGGTTCATCATTACTTTGCATTGATGTTCTTTTTTTAATATTTAATGTTTTTCTTTCTTCTTGGTAAATTTCATAAGTAATCCTTTCTTTCCTTAGATAAGCTTCCAGTGTTTGAGTGTCATTTA